CGACAGGCCCAGCGCCGGCGGCCTCACCACAGCGGTGAGGTCCTGCACGGTCTTGGGGTCGGTCTCTGCCATGGCGGGGTCGGCTCCCGGCTCCAGCTCCGCGGCGCTTCCGGGTCGCGCCCGCCACTTCCGGCGCCGCTCTCGCGAGAGGAGCTGTCGCGGGGCATTCTGGGAAGCGTAGTCCGCCAGCGCTGGGCGGGAAAATCCCCGGGATGGTGCGAAACCCGGGCCCGGGGCCTGGCCGGGGGGCGGCGCGGCCGGGGAGGCCCAGTCCGGCACAGACAGAGCGCGGCCGCGGCGGTGTGGGAGGGGAGGGCGTTAAAACGTGTTTTTTCACCTCAGAGCGCTAAGTTTACAGGTAATCATGCTTAGAATAGAAGCTTTCCCCACACGCAGATTTGATAGTTTTGCTCATGCTCTTAAAAAATCAACTTTGCAAGTTGGAGAGATTACAAACGTATTTTTCTAGCATGAGAAACGGTGCTGCTTGAAGAGGCCTTCCCCCTTTTTATGATTTTATTTAAAAAGGAAAGAGCAGTTAATAGAGCAAGTGTTTGCAGGTCATCTGGCTTCAGAGAGCGGCTGGCTGCAGGCAAGGCAGCGTTAAGGATTAGCACTGGGACTTGGGAATGTTATCTAAGTGGATTGATGAATAAAGGGAATGTATTATTGTGGCACATTGTCTTCCTGAAAGAAAGTACCCATAACAAAGTTGCATACCGTGGATTAAATTCATGTCTGCCACAGAGCAGTGACGTTGTCTTTAAGACTGTAAAGCTTCATAGACTGGATTTTCGCAGGGGTGATGGGCGTAAGATAAATATTTCCTAAGTGTAAGCTTTTTAGACCAAAACAAGTCATTTGTAGTTTTCCTTTGTGAAGCAAGTTGATGTTTACACGACTTGGTGGTTGTGTACTGAGGGAAGATCTAAACTGAAGTTAACAAAAACATTGTATATGAATTTGTAAATGAAGAACGTTTCCCATTAGCTACAGATGATTCTCAAATGTCTCGTTTTCCCTGAAAGCCAATACAGTGCTGACACTCTGCCTTATCCCATAACTAGTAACAAATGTGAGATGCAGGGCATTTGCATTATTAATGTGCCTTTTGGAGCACTGCTGTAGTAATAAAAAAACCCTACTTAGTGCCAGTTTGGGGAAATTTTGTTGTCTGTTTAAGAGTAACTATGGCTTCTAGTTCTGAAAAAAAGCTAAGAAATTAAGTCCCGTTTATTTGTTTGATGTGTTTACAAAAGGTGGTTGTTTTTATGGCTTCTATTTGAATCACATAAACTGTTGCTTTGCAAAGGTCATCGTATCAGGTCTCCTGGTGCACGTCAAAGTGCAGATCTCTCAGCTCCCCCGAGCGCTGGTGTGAGTCTCATGGCAAGTGGTGATGCTCACGGGGTTGGGCTGCGGCTGCTGCCTGGCTGCTCCAGACCCTGAGGGATGTGGCATTGCAGTGTCTGTCCAGGGACTGTGTCCCCCACAGCACGTTTTTGAACGTTGGACTGCACAGGAAGCGACACGGTGCTCGCTGGCATGGGACTCCCCCGTCTGCCCCGTGTGTGGCTCCATCAGGCAGTTGTGGCTTTTTGTGATGAGTCCAGCAGATGCAAACACAGCGGGGAGAAGCTGCTTGACATGTCAAGCTGTTGGAGGCCATTTCTATCTCTTCTAGACGCCTGACCAGGATGTCAAGGCTCCAGCCTGTAGGTAGATGCCAACTATGAGGCCCAAAGCCCTCTCCCTGCAGCAGTCCTCCGGGAGTTTTAGCAGGTGACAGTGCACATGCCTTTCTTGGTTCTCCATCATTTAAGAAGAAAAAAAATAATGGATTGGCCTGATTCTCCAGCTTTGTTCTTGTAGATGGTTTTGTTGCAGCTTGACCTTGAGAATGTGACATGACTGGTTTGACTTCACCACTTTGTGACCATAATGTTGCCAGTTGTGGCAAGTTTAGATAAGATGTGTTATAGATTCAGCTGGTGCCTCTTTGCCTCTTCTAGCACAATCGTCCAAATGCCATGTTCCATTTTGGGGCAGGGACAGGCCCTAGATGGTTTTGACTTAAAATGTGTGTCCACTAAACTAGTATAACAGTCCCTGTTTTGTAGGGAGTCAGATCTGACTAACAAAATGATTCCTTGGGCCATTTTTAGTGTCAAATGGCTGCACACTTGTTCTCATAACTTTATTTTTTTTTTTTTTTTTTTTTGTTCATGTCAGGATAAAACATTTTCATTAGTCATTTGCTTCCCAGCATGGCACAGTTAAACAATGACTGAAAATTTGCAGGGTTTTGTCTCCTTTTTGAGACTGGACTGAAAGAAAATGCTATGCAAGGAGGACTGGTAGGATTAATGATCCTTTCACAGTAATGTTCAGAGATTACTAAAATGAATGGAACTGTAGAAGGCTGAATTCTCTTGCTAGCTTTTTCCTGACAAAGTCTTAATTTAAAGTGTAGAGAGAAGGAGGACCTTTAAAATTTACAAAGAATCTGTTGTTTTCCTTAAAATCAAGGGGAATTTACAAAGATAAATTTAAAAACAGTTAATGAAACTCCTTTAAAATGCAGGGATATGTAATGCCAATGCAGAATGATTGGACCTCATGTAGCAGTAAGTCATGGTCAGGATTTGTACAAAAGCAGCCACATTTTCAGTTTTCCAGAGAACTCAAAATGAACTTTGCCTTTGTGGGAACATGATAGAGATTTCTGGTACTGGTGTCTTTACGTCTGATTCAGCTCTTGTTTCCTTTGGTGACATATTGTAACAGCTCAATAACTTGAAAAAAAAGGCTATTAATTTAACAGCTTTTTTTTTGTGCCAGTTAATGGCACAAAATCACCTTAAATAGTCAATGCTGCAGAATTAATTGTATATTTTTTGTTAGGCCTTTCCAGTAATCACAACACAGGGATTGGGAGGCATCTAATGAAATCAAAGTTTAAAAAGGCAGAATAAAATTTCCTAAAGGCAATTTTTGCAAAGAAAGTTTTTGCAAAAGACCCTGTTCTTACCAAAACACTATTGTCAATTTTGTAATGACCTGAAAGAGTTGTAGTCCTATATTTACAGCTTTTATAAATAACAGCTCTTCCAGAGGACCTGGTACAATTATGGTGCATTAGCTCAGTGGTAACAGTTTAGAAAAGACGTTGTTATTATTATGTCTATGTTTTCTATGAGGCAATAAACAGCAACTATACTTTAATTGCTTTGACTATCAAATCTTATTTGGTCTCCCCGATGACTTACACGTAATTGTGGTATTTCTGAGTATTATTCATACAATGATTGTTCACTCAAACTGTTGCAACTGTTCTTGCCTGCTCCCTCATTTGAGTGTTCTGGATTTATAGATCTTAAGATACTCAGCACATAAAAATCACAGATATCCTTATTCAAGCCAAGGACTTACAATGAAATCTTGAGAATGAAATTTTAATATTTCAATTGCAACTTGAGTTGCTCGTGGCAGAATTTCTTGAGAAAATATAAAAATATAACAAATAGAACTCATTTATTCTAGGGGAATAACACTCCTCAGAGGCTGTCAAATATACATGAGGTCAGAACATATTAAACAAAGAACTGTGCTTGGAAAACAACTGTCAAGGGAAAAGTAAATGTTCAGTATCATGACTCATGTGAATATGTAACTGGATAAAGCACAAATTATGGAAACAGCAAAACCAGGTCTAGAATAAATGTGAAAGTGATTTGTATTAAACCAGAAACAATTCACAGTGCTTTTTTTCAGATTATTCTTCAGCCACTAAAACGAATATCTTTTGTATGAGTAGTTCTCACATGAAGTTAACTCCTGTTACAAAATGAAATTATTTTTGTGGTAGGTATTCCCCTCTGGTAATTTATCCTCTATTTTGCATTTTCAGTCTTCAGTTAGCTTGCTGTTACCTGCCATCAGAAGTCATCAAGGAGTATGTCCTTGGGCACCAGATCCTTTGGGCCATGTGAGGGAAGAGAAGGACAAGCAGGGATTCGTTAAGAGTGGACAGATTTCATTTTAGGTGGTTGGACCAGAGGAAGGTAAGAGATGGAGACAGAGGGATGTTACCATATTTCATGCATTACACTTCCACTGTCTCATTCCTCCTCGCTTTCCCACTTCATTCCCACTTCATTCTTGTACACAGACACTTCAGAATGTTATTTCCTTAGCATTGCTACTAAACCTTCTGTGACTGAGAGAAGAAAAGCTTTCCTGAAAGGAAAAGCTTAATGATGGTCAGTGACCACAAAGCCAAAAGCTCTTTCCAAAACTCCTGCTGAGGGGGTGGAAGGAGAAGGATGTCACACTGTTCTTCTTTGAGATTTACTAAGCTTTCAGCAGCAGAAGGCAATCAGAAGCAATGCCAAAGTGTGGCAATGCATGGCAGTATCCGTGGCCTAATAACTGCTTTGTTTACTTCATGGTAAAGCTTTGTTTGCTTCATGGTAAAGCTTTGTTTGCTTCATGGTAGTGTATGGAATTGCTGGCATCTCTAGGGACGGGACAAGAGGAACTGTGCTCAAGGAACAACCTATAAGAAAACAATGAAGAGATTATAAGATAATACTTTGTTTTTTTAGTGGAACCGTAGTTCTGTAAGAAAAAAGATAAGGCATATGTACAAACCCAGACAGTTTACTAGTAGAAAAGCCAACTAAAAATTGATACTTTTATTGTCAATCGATGAGCATTAGAAGAATCTACTAAGATATGTTTTGCTTCACATGGCCTTCTGTCCTCTGGTAGATTCAGTCTTTGGAGATGTTGGTCAAAGGATCCCCAATGAGCACATGTATAAAAACTTGTATGTGATCTACGTGATCAGCGTGTGTACAGTTTGTTTGGTAGCAGTCCATTAAATGCAGTAATTAAATTCACCAAGAGAAATGTATGATTGTACAAGAGCCAAAAAGTGTAGTAACTTTATAAAACTCTTAATTTTGGTATTTTACATGTAGGGGGACATTTTAAATTGAGCATGAGAAAAGACTGCAAGATGGGAGAGGTAGGAAGGGTAGAAAGGACCTCAAAAAAGAGACTTGACTTTAAAACTGCACATTCCAATTCTAACTCTGCCTTGATAAAATTTTCATGAGGACCACTGA